CAGCAACAGGCTGCAAAGGTCCAGGTCCTGAGGGGACCAGCAACAGGCTGCAAACATCCAGGACCTTAAGGGACCAGCAACAGGCTGCAAAGGTCCAGGTCCTGAGTGGAATGGTGAACCTCTGCCCATCTTCTGATTCATCTTCTCTAAACTCCAGTCTTTACTCAGTTCTCTGACTGATCTGTTGATAATTCATCTCGTTAGTTACAAAACGCTCCCCCAGATGTTTTTTATACGTACCACTTACTTTTACAACCTTTTGTTGCTCCTGGAACAATTTTTGAGACGCGTCGCTTCCATCAGATTCAGAGTTTTGTTTCTTTCTCCAAATTATTTTCTTAGTTAAACATTTTATATCGTCACCACGTTCCGTTGTAAATAAAATGAAGGTTTGCAAGAGTTGCAAACTGCATTCTGTTTTTACATTTTACATGTTTTTTCGAGCTGGGGTCGTAAATGTTCAATATTTGAGTCGACATACACAGAAGGAGGAGAATTAAGAGCAAAACGTTTAAAAATATCAACATTCAGGGTCTGACCTGGTGAGTGTTTGTAGATGAGCCGTACAGACAAAAGCTACAAACGGCAGGCGAGGGTTTGAAAAGACCCGAAAAGCAACTTTGACTTTTCAGCTTTCAACCTCAAAGTAGTAAAAAGCCGTAAAAGAAGCTGTGCTGGATGCAGGCATGCAGAAAAACAACATTCAGCCGAGAAAGGGCCGGAGCGCGTCACGTGACAGAAGCCGAAGCAACCGGGGAAACGAGAAGTTCAAGCAGAGGAAAGAAAAGGACGTGTCTCTCTGCGGGGTTCAGTTTCAGCTGTTCAGAGAGCGAGCCACCGCTTCAGCTTCATGCTGGCTTCACTGGAGCTTACGGGAGCTAAACGCTGCCGTTTCCAGCTCGTGTGTGGAATGTGAACGCATCGCGGTGAAGAACAAGAGCAGCCGGAATGGAGCGGCTCCTGAAATATTAAAACGTGAAGTTTTTTACAGCGCGTCACGTCAGATCAAACACTACGACGTTCAAAGTAAACAGTTGGTCCCAAACAGAGAGAAAGATGGAGAGAAAAGGTGGGAGAGGTGCCCTGAATGAACAAAAGGGGGGGGAAACAAAAAGGACGCTGGATGTGTGGAGTCTCGTTTGATCCGTTGGCAGCACCCCCCCTCCCCCCAGGTCTGCTGCTCCTGTTTGTTCTCAAAGACACCTCGCTGCAGATCTCTGACCTCACAGCTGTTCTCCCCACCTCCTGCACCAACATCCTCGATGGATCTGCACCTCCTCGGCTGGATGAGAAGACTGAGGTGCCGGGTGGGGCGTCACGGTCGTGGGGTTACACCCTCACTCCTGCTCCCCCATCAAGCAGAGCTGAATCTGAAATAAATGCTGCCGCAGGGAGACGGCCGGCCGCCGCAGCGCCCCGCCGCTCCCGGCGCCCCCGCCCTCGCTGCGCCTCACTTCTTGACGGCCTGTCTGTAGCTGTGTCTTTGGCCTTCCTGTCGAGGTTTGCCGCCGCTGCAGCCGCTGGCTCTGCTGCTGCCGCCTCCGTCCCTGGTGCTGCTGGCCTGGCTGGCCAGGCTGCTGTCCTGCAGCGTGGGGCTGGAGTGAGCCCTCTGCAGGCTGCTGTCCTCCAGCAGCAGGGACTCGAACATGGACAGGTCCTCCTCGCCGCTCCGGATCTTCGCCCGCAGCAGCATGATGTAAGTTCCGTACCGCGTTTTCTGTGGAGCGGCACAAAAGCAGAAGGAACTTAATGGTTCCTGCTCTTAGTAGCCGTTATTAACTCCTTCATAAGAATTTCAGTTTCTTTAAACTGAGGTTACTCAAGACCACTGTCTGCTGCAGGTAAGATACTGACAGATCAAAAGAATCCAACAAAATGCCACTTCAGAAAAAAACAAAGTATTCCTTTAAGAATTACAGCACTGTCTGATCCGCTCACCTCAAAGTCCAGATACTCGTCTCGCTGGCGGTACTCCTCCAGCTCGCGACCTTTGACCTTGCGATCTGGGGGGTAGGAGTGCAGCTCAGCAAGCTCAGTGGAGATGGTTCTAAACCGAGCTTCGTGGGATCGGATCTGCTCCTCCTGAGGGCACAGAGACAAAAGAAAAACAAGGTGAAAAAGGCAAACAAAAAAATAAACAGATTTGTTGTTTACGACGCCGCTGCAGAAAAACAGATCAAAGAAAATAAAGAAGTTTGTAACTTTTGACCAATTTCTGGGTTTTTTTGTTTCTGGGTTGAAAAGTTTAGAAAAAAAATTGGAAATTTGGGTGACGCGGTGGCTCAGTTGGTACAGCTGTCACCTCTCAGCAAGAAGGTTGCTGGATCAAATCCCAGCTGGGGGCCTTTCTGGGTGGAGTTTGCATGTTCTCTCCGTGCTGTGTGAGTTTTCTCCGGGTACTCCGGTTTCCTCCCACAGACCAAAAACATGCATGTTAGGTTGATTGGTAACTCTAAATTGTCCCTAGGTGAGAGAGAGAGAGTGAATGGGTTTTTGTCTCATTTGTCTCTGTCCCTGTGATGGACTGGAGACATGTCCAGGGTGTCCACTGCCCCTCGCACTGTGATGACTGGATTTGGGGACCAGTGACCTCTGTGACCCGGAAAGGAAGAAGAGGGTAAAGAGGAAGGAAGGAAGAAAGGAATGAAGGGAGGGAAAGAGGAGGGGAGGAAAGAAAAGAGGAAGGAAGGACAAGAGGAAGGGAGGAAAGAAAAGAAGAAGAAGGAAGGAAAGAAAAGAGAAAGGAAGGAAGAGAGGCAGGAAGGAAAGAAGAAGGAAAGGAAGGAAGGAAAAGAGGAAGGAGGGAAGGAAAGAAAAGAAAAGAAAGGAAGGAAAGAAGAAGGAAAGGAAGGAAGGAAAAGAGGAAGGGAAGAAAGAAAAGAGGAGGGGAGGAAAGAAAAGAAAAAGGAAGGAAAAGAGGAAGGGAGGAAAAAAAAGAAGAAGGAGGAAGGAAAGAAAAGAGAAAGGAAGGAAGGAAAGATGAAGGAAGGAAGGAAGGAAAAGAGGAAAGAAGGAAATAAAAGAATAATGAAGGAAAAGAGGAAGGGAGGATTGGAGGAAAAAAAGGAAGAAAGGAAAAGAAAAAGGAAGGAAGGAAGGAAAATAGGAAGGAAAAGAGAAAGGAAATAAAATAAGGAAGGAAGGAAAGAAAAGAATAAGGAAGGAAAAGAGGAAGGAAGGATAGGAGGAAAGAAAAGAATAAGGAAGGAAGGAAAGAAAAGAAGATGGAAGGAAGGAAATAAAAGCAGATGGAAGGAAGGCTAGGAGGAAAGAAAAGAAGGAAGGAAGAAAGGAAAAGAGGAAGGAATGAAGAAAAATAGGAAGGGAGAAAGGAAAAGAGGAAAGAAGGAAATAAAAGATAAGGAAAGAAAAGAGGAAGGGAGGATAGGAGGAAAAAGGAAGGAAGGAAAAGAAAAAGGAAGGAAGGAAGGAAAAGAGGATGGAAATAAAATAATAAGGAAGGAAGGAAAGAAAGAAAAGAATAAGGAAAGAAAAGAGGCAGGAAGGATAGGAGGAAAAAAGGAAGGAAGGAAGGAGGGAAGGAAGGAAGGAAGGAAAAGAGAAAGGAAGGATAGGAGGAAAGAAAAGAATAAGGAAGGAAAAGAGAAAGGAAGGATAGGAGGAAAGAAAAGAAGAGGGAAGGAAGGAAGGAAGGAAAAGAGGAGGAAGGGAAGGAAGGAAAAGGGAAGGAAGGAACTAAGGCTTCTTGTTTAGAGTTTTTCATATAAAATAATTATTTTAATATTTGTATCATTCAGCAGATTTCCTTGTTCTTTTTAACAGTTAAGAGGTTTCAGTCAGGAGTGAGTGTGTGTGTGTGTGCGTGTGTGCGTGTGTGCGTGCGTGCGTGTGCGTGTGTGTGTACACACTGCAGCACAGATGATAATGGACGATCCTCCAAGCAGCAGCTCTAACAGAACTCTGTATTTCAACAGCGCCCCACTTTTTGAACCTCAGGGGTTCCAGACTCGTCCCAGAGGAGGACCGGCTCCCCGTGAACCAGCTGCAAACGTTACCTCGGACTGTTTTGACATCGCTCCTGGCAGCAGCGGCCGGCTGAACTTCTTCTGGGAGCCGATGGCTGCTGGGAAAGGAGGCGATGAGAACATGGCGGCCACCGTGTTGATGCGTGTGATCCAGGACTGCATCTGCTCAGCGTTCCTGTCGTGGACGAGTCAAACACAGAAATCACTCGCGTCTTGAACCGGTTACCCAAAACCACATCTACCGTGAGCACTAGGCTGGTTTTTAACATGCTAGTGATTAGAAAAAGACACGATGACGTCTGTTTTAGAGAAATCTCTGATGGAAAAACGTCCTGGCTTTAAATCCCAGGAGAGAGGAAGAGATGGAGAGACAGAGAGGAGATGCAAGGAGAGGTGAGCGGTATCTGGGACAAACACAAGCTGCAACTGGAGCACAGAGCCTGCCCTCCTGGGGCTGAAGCATGTGGCCAATCACGTGTCACTTCCTGGACCCGGCTCACCTCCACGTTACCCTCAGTCATCAGGAATCACTGAGGACTAACGGATCAGCTTTAACTTACACCAAAACTAGGAGATGTTTTTCTGTTAAATGTCTTCAGGTTTTCCACTAAGTTTGGAAAAAAATACAAGTTTGTTTTGTTTATCAACTACTGAACTCTTCAGTTTCAGGGTCCAGTTAAATATTCTGAGCCGGGGTTTGTCACACGATGACCTCAGTGTGGGAAGGGTTTTATAAAAGCTTTAAAAAAATAAAACATCAGAGCTGTGATGAGAGCTTAAAGCCCAGATTGATGAACAGCAACAACAAAATAAGAATCATTAAATACTTTAATGTGTGCTTAACAAGAACTTGACTCAAGATGGCCGCCACAGATAATCAGCATAATTCTCTGAATGTTTTGAAGCATCCTCTCCACTGTGATCCATTTTTATTCCGTACGTTTTTCAGATCGATCCTTGTCCTGCAGTTTTCAGCTATTTCAGCAAATCATAAATCAAAATGTTCAGCTCTTTCAAGACAGTCCTGCTATGACTTTTGGTATTCGTGCAGCTTTAGCTTTTTGAAATATTTAGCCTTTTCTGCCATTTTTTCTCATAGAAACCGAGTTGGGCACATTTTACATCCTTCACATCTTTAGCTGTTTACATTTTACTGCTCCTTTCACATTTTGTTCTGCTTCAGCTTCTTTCAACTTCCTTCTGCAAAGTTAACTTTTTTCAGCTACTTTCAGCTGTTTTTTCAGCTGTTTTGCGCTCCTTTCTGATTTTTTCTGCTAACTACAACATTGTTTTGTTTCTTCTTACTTATTTCTGCTAATTTCAGCTTGTTATGATCCTTTCAACTTATTTCTTCGTTTCAGCTTTTTCTGCTATTGCAGCTACAATTTAGCTGTTTTATGCTGATTTTAGCCTTTTCAGCTAATTCCACTTTTTGTCACTCATTTCAGCTTCTTTCAGCCTAATTCAGCAAAAAATGTGCTCTCTCCACTTCCTTCTGGTAAATTAAGCTTCTTTCTACTTTTTTTTTAGCTAATTTTCTGTTGCTGTTTTTTGCTCATTTCGGCTTTTTTGGGGTAATTTCTACTTTTTTGTGCTCATTTCTGCTTCTTTCAGCCTAAATGGGAAAATGTGTTATTTCTGCTTTCTTCTGCTAATTTAAGCATGTTCTACATTTTCAGCTACATTTTTAGCTGTTTTCAGATGAATTCAAGTGTTTTGTGGTAACTTCTGCTTCTTTCAGCCTAATTAACTTCTTTATGCTAATTTCAGCTTGTTGTGCTCCTTTCAGCTTTTTCTGCTATTTCTGCTACAATATAGCTGTTTTATGCTATATTTAGCCTTTTCAGCTAATTCCATTTTTTATTTAGCTCATTTCAGCCCTTTCTGCTTCCTTCTGGTAGTTTAAGGATCTTTCTGCCTTTTCAGCTTCTTTTCATCTATTTTTTGCCAATTTCATCTTTTTAGCTAATTTAATATTTTTTGCACTAATTTCTGCTTATTTAAACCCAATTCATCAAATGTGTGTTTTTTCTGCTTTGTTCTGCTAATTTAGGCTTGTTCTTCATTTTCAGCTACCATTCAGCAAGTTTGAAACCAGCTTCAGCTGATTTTCAGCAATAAGCGTTCACACTGCATTTTCACATGAAATGCAGTTTCTCTAGTTCTTACAGGCTTTAAGCTAAATTCTGCTGCAGTTCTAGCTGAGTCTCCTCTGAGCGTTAACAGATCTGTGTTTAAAACGGCATTCCTTCAAAAACTTCTAGTTTTATATTCTTATAAAAATAAAACATGCAATGAAACGACACTTGGTCATTTAAGGGATTGTAGTTTGAAACTGTGGCAGAAATAAACAAAGTGTAGCTCAAACCCTGAATCTACTGACACGAATCCTTATCAGTAAAAACGTACAAGTGCCGCTTTGAATGATGGAAAAACAACCGATTAAGAACGAGAAGAATCTCCTTTTCTTACTTAACGATGGTCCAGTGACTCCTGAGCTAAAGAAGGTGTCAAAGGAAGCATTAAAGCTTCTTTCATCAACATCTCAGACCATTAAGAGCTTCAAAGATAATCGAGGCGACCTTATGTTAGAGACCGATAACTTCAAGTTTTGTGTTTTAAATCAGAGGCGTCTCAAACAGAAATCTGAGCGTCCACTTGTTCTCCGGCAGAACAACAGCTGGTCCGACCCGACAGACCCTGGATCTCGTGGACCATCATCACGGAGTCTGGGCTCACATGGCGGGTGCTTGGCAGCAGCCTGACGCAGCAGATGGTTTATTACACACAACCAGCTGGAGAAACATTGTTGGAGGGTCGTTTGAAATCGGCGTCACAGACGACTGGACGAGCCGCTCGTTTGTTACATCGGAGTGATAAATCCGTCTCGCTGAAGCCAGTCAGGATCTAAAACGTGTCTGTGACGATGTAAACTCTTTGAGAGTAGTTCTGAAGAAAACCTTTTACTATCTGCTGCCGCTGGCCGTCAGAAGACCTGAAACCCGTCAGTAGCTTTCAGAACCCTGGCTGGTTCCGATGGCTACTGGGTGTAATGATCGCCCTTTGCCATGAAAGTGGGCGAGCATGTAAATGCCTGTGTGTTTATTGGTCTGACTGTTAGCACTGGAGGAACATCTACGACTGATTGTTTGGAGTCAACCTGATTCAAGATGGCTGCCACAGCCATGTGACAGTACTGGTCTCAGGCTGATTAATCTGCTTGTAACGTCCAATGTTTTAGAAAAATAATGAATAAATAAATAATTTGTAAAACTGAGGAGTCCACAAACCGGCAGGTGACATCACAGCAGTTATACCACTCATGATTTTTTTGTGTTTCCCGCCATTTTTTTGTGATTTGGGGGTTTGGATGGGTACATTTGCTGCAGACATTATGAAGTAAAAACGTTTTGTAGAAAGACAGTAATTTAGAAAAACTCAAGATGGAATTACTCTCATCCACAAATTAATAAAACCTTTCTAATTTTCCTGGAGAAAATCTTTCTATCCACTTTACTCCTGGACTCTGCTGTATCAATGATTCTGGTACTACTTCCTGTCAGACAGGAAGTAGCAGTAAGCATGGGTTAACCATGGGAGTCGAGCATGGACTGCAGTTTATTTGAAAGTAATTTACTTTGAGTTCAGCAGATAAAACTCTGTTTTTGTTTTGTTTACATTTATTTAACAACCATAAAGTTTATTAAAATAGCCGTGCTGAGTTCAGGTACCTGTTGTGTTCAGGGCTGCAGAACAACCAGACCAAACTAAATCAGTGGCTACAACAAAAGAGTTTGAACACGGACCCAAAACAAAAAGAGTTCCTGTGAAAAGAGGTTTAGTTTCCATCTTCTACCTACAGATGAGGAATTAAGAAGAACGTGTCTGAACAACGTGAACTTGAAGAGACCACCCAAAACACTGTATGTGAGTTCATTTCACTTTGTTGACAAACGGCCGACGGAGGAAAACCTGCATCCTACTTTGTGTCTGGACGACAACAAACCACCGGAGAAGAGACGCCGGATCCTCAGAAGGATTGAAAACAGTGACGAGAACATCATGATTTCAGGTGTATGGAGGTCACAGCTTTATAGTATATGTTCATCTTCAGTTTATGATTTTCTCTGTAATGAACCCAAGCTCAGTGATGGAGGACTTTAAGGCTTTGTCTGGACTCTGTGTCTGATTTAAAGTCAATAAGATTGTGTCCCACCTCTTTCAAAAAAACACACCGACCTCATTACTGTGGAGACACTGAGACACCTCAGAGCTGTTCAGCTTGTTCAACGCTTCACCGTCAGAAGAACTGAGTCAGTGAAGTAGCTAAATATGCTAGTAGATGTAGCTGAATATGCTAGTAGATGTAGCTGAATATGCTAGTAGATGTAGCTAAATGTTTTAGTAGATGTAGCTAAATATGCTAGTAGATGTAGCTAAATATGATAGTAGATGTAGCTAAATATGTTAGTAGATGTAGCTAAATATGTTAGTAGATGTAGCTAAATATG